TTGTATTTCTCGTTGGCGCGCAATAATCCGACTTTCTTGAGGACGAAAGAGATACCAATAAAGACACCAGATCCAACAGCCAAACCAATACCAACGGGTTTATAGAATCCAGGTCGATCGCTCGGGTCGCCACCGAGGCCGCCACTTCGTGCGAAGATATCGGCGTCCATTGCGGTCCGGTATTCGATATTCAAGACGGAGACAGGGACGGAGAGGGAGGAGGAGAGTCGAAGTGGAAATCTAGACTCTATTTAGAACCACATGGGCGATGGTGACGGGATCGGTTGCGGCAGCGACGAAGGACTCTCTGGTTTATAGGGGGCTGAAGCAAACTCTATAGCGATATAAGCTCATAAGAATGACGAACAATTGAAAGTATGAGCTGCGGATAAAGTAAGATAAGGTAATTCTAGGAAGAGAATATAGAAAAAGAAGTGTTGAGAAAGCTAATAGTATGTATGTCTGGTGTTCGAAAGTAAAGAACCTAGAAACCTTGGAAACGGTGTCGCACACTCCAGGCCCAGCCAGCTTCCATCCTTTGTGATGAAAGAGCCTAGATGGATGTGGGTGGGCTCCTGAGACACCCCAAACGAACAAGTATCAGTACATGCGATACCCTTTAGGCGCTGTCCCCGCTGCAAGCTGCCAACTTCCAGTGGTTCCCAGCCAACCACTTCACTCAAACCTAAACAAGCTACAGAACAAGCTCCTCCATCTGCTGGTACCGGTCCGTTGGGCGGAGATCTTAGCGTCGTAGACATCAACAAGACCAAGAAGACGTCGTCTACCTTAGTACATACGTACGTACCTCGTGGTTCGGCATGTCAGTGACAGTCAATACCCCGAGGCCGAAATAAGAGAGAGATCAATCATAATTTCCTTGGTCACGATTAATTAACCAACTAATTACTACCGGGGCATTCCAAGTTTATGACCGAAATGTCATGGGCCATCACCCGCTCAACGGGCTCTTGGACCAAGGGGCGCTAAACAAATCGACGTCAGCACCTCATCCATCCATGATGAGCCTGAAACCCCATGAGACCTCTCTACCTGTGAATCTGGGCTGCTTCAGTGGCTTGCTGATGACTTGGAGATATCTGATAGGGGTCCTTGTATCGATCGATGCTTGACCTGCCCATCTCGGTAAGCCCTTGGCGCAGCATTTGGGGACTTGTATGTACAGGTACTTGATGGCCCTCCGCCCCCAAAAAAGCCACTTACATACGTACGTCGAGGGGCTAGATGACGATGAAGCATTGCGCATCTCCTGGCCAAAACTCATTCCGTTGGAGACGGAGTCTAAACGTTGAAGATTCGTTCTTTTCTCTCAGATTGATCAAGTTGACCGCTTCTACTCGCCTGCATATTCTGTAGAACAGAGCAAAACTGTCGGCTGTACTGAGCTTGACCGCTGGACAACGAATGTTCTTTACTGAGCTGATGGTGGCTTCGAAACTGTTAGGCCAAGGCGGACTCTACTCAAGCGCATCCGCCAACGTGGGGTGTCTCCAAGGAGCAAGAAAACCTTTGATGCTGAACTAAGGCGTTAAAAATATCTGATCTAAGCGCCCCTAAATTCATACGAGGCTTACTTGAATGATTTTGTCACTCAGAATCGACATCCCATGTTTTCTTGCCTCCCTTCGGTTGGTTCTTCGGTAGAATCTAGACCCAAAGTCTGGGCTCTTTTTCAGCTTCCAACGTTGGTTCAACTATGATACCAAACATACCGAAATCTACCTCATCCTATGGACTATTGTGCTATGTAAGACCCGTGTCCGTTGGAGTTATATCGCCAAAAAGATGTGATCAGCACTATTCATCAACCATGTCAAAGACTCCCGAACCCTCCGGACCACAGCACTCACCTCTCAGGCTCTCCCACTGCATTAATGTCTGGCCTTTAGTCTCTCACAGCCAGCAAAATGGAACTCTCCGCAGCTATTTCTGTCTCGGGACGACACTGCATGCACGCACGACTCAGCCTGTTTTGACTCCACACACCAACTGCACATGTGGTGTTTCAGAGAATGTTTTTTTTTTTTCACCCAGTGATCGACAGCGAATCGATAAGTTTCAATGTCTCAATTTGTTGGTGGGTCGACAAATCGACCGGCTGCACGCTCCGAGGAAGCATTGAGTTCCATTAATGTTGATCAAGCGAGGTTCGCTTGATACGAACACGAACTAGGGCTGAAGGACGATATATGGCGTAGTTCTGCTGAACTACAAAAGCGTAGAAATCCTTTGTACTTGACCGCTCTTATGGTGGGCAGATATTCAAGACTTCGCGCGATTATAGTACCATCTAGCCATGCTCTGTCACCAGACTCACGACTGTAGCGTGCTATCGTGCAGCTTGACGGACCGTTTAAGCTGCATTTGCGTGGCGTCAAGAATTGAGTGATATCGTGTGGCTTATGCTAAGTGAATCCATAATACATATAACTTTGTCATTTCCTATCGTGTAAAGGGGGGTATCTCGATCTTGTATTCATAAATGCCATGATGCAACCCATTCCACTAAAGACTGAACTTTCCGTCTCTTGCTATCCATGCCATGCCTTGCCTTGCCGTATCGTGCTATTTCTTCTGAACAACCGGGACAATCTCCTTCAGCCACTTCTTCACCCTCTCATCCAGAGGTAACTTCTTGGCCTCTCCTTCGCTCATTTTCTTCGCAAACTCCTCTTTCAGCTTCTTCTGCAGAGCCAGTTTCTTCGCGTTCTGATCTGCAAGTAAAGCCCTACTTCTGGCGCGATGTTCAGCTAATTGTCTCCGTTTTCTCGCGTCATGCTCTACTAATCGCTCAGGAGGCACAGGCTTGCCGGTATGCTTCTTGACCTTGTTCCAAAAAAGCTTATGCTGCGCCTCGAAGTTGTTATGAGCACTATTGTACATCGCGACCCGGCCATGGCTTTCGACCAGTTCCTTGAATACAATGTTGTACTCACTCCTCGTAGCTGTCTTTGAGAATCGGAGGCCCATGTCGATAACGGCGCATGCCAGTTCCTTGGAGCCAGGGAGGTCGAAATTGATTGCCATGAGAAACGATTGTGCCTCGGGATGAAGCGCGTGCAGAGGAGTGCCTAGGAGAGCTGACCGGACGATTCTAGGGATGAGTGATTTGGGTATCTCCTTTCCGCCGTATTGTTGCCACTCGGGTCGGGCTGAAGGAGATGCCGGTTCCTTCGTTTCTGAAGCCTGTGGTTTGGGTGGCTCTGATACTGCGGATGGATCCATCTTCTGTCGTTTGGCTGGGTTCCTTGATGAAGGGCATGGCGTTTCTTCGCGAGATAAAGCTCGCTTTCGGGTGATGGGCTCCGGTTCCGCATTCTCAACAGGCATGTCGAGGACAAGAAAGCGCAGAGAACCATATGAGCTCACGTCGTCAAATGCGTCATATAAACCATCCTCCGTTGAATCGTACTCATCATAATACTCATCATCTTCCTCTTCCTCCTCCTCCTCCTCCTCCTCCTCCTCCTCCTCGTCATCATCATCATCATCATCATCATCTTCTTCTTCTTCTTCTTCTTCTGCTTCAACTTGAACTTCATGCACTACCTTTCTTCTCTCATACTCTTCATCGTCATCATATTCGTACTATGAACGTCAGTCTCGCCCTGAAAATGAGAGGGAAAGTCGATACATACGCTTGTCGTTGTTTCATCGGCAGCCTCAGCCACAAGCATAACTGTTAGAGCCGTTGCGAGATCAAGCTGCTCTCTTCGGGTCATCTCGTGCTTGATAATGTCCTGGACGACGATATCCTCGATTGTCTTTGAGTCAATTCCCGAGCCTTCCGGATACAGGTTTTTCGGTAGCCACGACATGTCTCTGGGGGCTCTGTCGCGTTTATTTTGATGTGAAAGTTGATGATGTCGATGGCAAGAGGTGAGATTCTGTGCTCATGGTTATTTTCTAGAAGGAAATGGTTGATTTTATTCCGCTCGTCAAGGTCCGATAAGGCGAGTGAAGAGCCCAACTGGTGGGGGAGATGACCTTCTCTGGCCAATCACAGCCAGTTTTGCTGACGATAAGGCCGTTCTAGAATTCTGAGTGGCAGAATTTACTTGGCAGGGTCGCTTATCTCGTAATTTGTGTTCCGAGGCCGAGTCTCGCGAGTCGAGGCCTCTTGAAGACTTGTTGACTAAAACACATGTAACCATGTGGCTCATTATTATATCACTACTACATAATAAACTCACAACATTAACTCAGCTTTTCGCGTTCTTCATTCTCGCGTCTTAAAGCTTTCTTCAGCCACTTTAACTAATATCGGCTGAACCAAATACCGATGGTCCCCAGTTTTTAAGGCTAAATGCCCCTGGCTCGCCCGAGGACTTAAGTCTGATCCTGAAATTAGAATGTCGTTCTCTTACCAGGAAACAGATCCTCCGACCCATTCTCAGCTGTAGCGCTGACGGGAGAGATGTTTGAAGCGTACACGGCCCTATCAGCCTAGTCATGACCCTAGCTTTAAGAGGTTTACTCCCAGCATTAGTTGTTTGAGGACGATACAGCGCCCTTAGGGAGCAAGAAAACACGAGACCTAAGTTTAGGGTGACACAATAAACCCCATAAAAGGTATCCTAAACTCATCCTAAATTTATACTAAGTTACCTAAATCTTTTTATCAGTTAGGCTTAAAGGTCCCGAGTTTTATTTCCTCCCCTAGAGCGCATTGAACAGCCTCAGGGATGAACCAATGGCTTATATGGAGTGAGATGGAGATACAGGGGATCCTTCGTGTCCAGATGGAGTCTTGATCACCTTAAATCAGCTTTGAATCCTTCTTAAGGGATCCTATTTCCTGAACTTTCGTGTCTGAGCTGTGCTAGCTTGTTCCTTCGTGTATTGTCTTTGCCTCTGCCTCTGCCTCTGCCTCTCTTCGTCTTTGCATTCGAGTTTGCGCAGGCGCAGATCTATCTATCCACTTAAATTACATCCACTTGAAGTTATATATCAATCGCTTGCAGCAATTCCTCCCTAAAATGGCCAACAAGAACGCAAAGTCTCTCTACGAGGCTATCCCCGAATGTATTAGCGGATGCTTCGACATCAGTGTTGCTAATACTGGCTGTGCCACGGACGACTACGACTGCTGGTGCTATAAGCCCAATCACCAGACCATCGTTGATACATTGGAGCAATGTCTCTCAAATAAGGAAAGAAAGACGAAAAAGAAGTGTACTGAAGATGATGAATTCGGTATGTAGTTGTCGACTCAAAATGTCAATGCTTCACTAACAGAAGCCAGAATATGAGAATAGTTATTGGAAGATCTGCGAACAATATTGGGAACCTTATGGAACAGCCACCGAACCAACATCATTCCCAACTGCTGTATCATCTACAGCCTCAGGAGCGTCGACAACACTAAAGATCTCGACAACAGTTGCCACTACGGCATCATCTGGAGAGACAGCCGCCGCGGACGAATCTACCTGGACGAGCCTTGCACCAACTGAGACTGGCGATTCCGAGCAAGCACAAGCATCTGAAGGAGCAGACACAGTAACACGTACTCACAGTGATTTATCACCAGGAGGAAAAGCTGGAGTGGGCGTTGGTGTTGCACTGGGCGTTATCTTGATCGGTATTGCCGTCTTCCTCTGGCTGCGTGAGAGAAAAAGAAGACGCTCAGTCGAAGAACAACTCAGAATTGTTGAGATAGAGAAGGCGAACGCTTCTGAAGACGGATATTATGTTAGCAAGGGCTTGTACGAGATGGAGGGCGATCGACCTCATGCGGAGGAACTTCGTGGATGTATGAGAACACCAGAGCTTGGTGCTGCAGAGATGACAAAGTCAAGCAGCGTGACACACGTTGGACCCGTGAGTCCATCTGATGATGATAAGGATTCGTCGTTTTCGACACGAATTCACTCGTGGCCCATCTCGCCTGAGAGTCCAAGTCGTCAGGAGTCGAGAGGTTTGGGCGAGATAACGGACAATAATACGGCCAAACCAACAGCTACTTGATGAGTTATTGTCCCTGATGACTACCTAACTCTTTTCTTTACAAACTTACTTACATAACTATTCTTTACTGCTCTTACCGACGACTTGGCATTGCTGTCAGTGGTGAAAGGAGGACTCAAACGAAAAGCCCCCACTCGTTGGTATTGACCATTGGATTGATAATTGAATACTGGTTTTTGGCTGTTTGAATTGCTGGAGTCGGGCCCAGAAATTACTGGTATAAAAGGCTGGGCTCGGTGGCATTCTATAAATTTTGACCCAGTCAACGTCACCCTCGATACCAACATCGACATCCCACACATCCATTTCAGCAACAGTTCATCAATCTCTTCAAAATTCAAGATGCCTGGAAACCGAGACACCATCGTCCAGCTCCTCGAGCGTCTCAAGGAGGAGAAGCACCCTGGTGCCCAGACCCTGAAGGTATTCCTAACCACACAGATAGCTTCGTATGCAGCGGAACTGACCCAGTCAAAGGACTACGTCAACGAGACCTCCAACCTCAAGGACGTCATGATGGCGGTTGTTAAGGACATCGTCGCCGCAAAGAATGATCTCGGTCTCACCGGTGGCCGTGCTGCCGGACTCAACGCTTGCCGCGAGGAGCTCTGCTACGCCTTCGTAAGTCACTCTCTTCTCCTTGCTGCTGTACTTGCTGATGAGATATAGGACAAGCACTGCCGCACCACCGATGATGGCTACGACCGTCTCTACCACCCTCGATTCACCTGCCGCATCCAGACCTTCAAGGTTCTGTCTGCCGAGGAACAGGTCGAGGTCGTTCTCCGAATCCCGCTTCGCGAGTACAACGACTCCCCCCACGTCCTCGAGCCTGGCAAGTGCGAGGTCTCCCTCATCGTGAAGGAGAACTAGCTAAACGCTCGCTCATGATTTTGACCCGACTTGGAGCTTGGGAAATCATCACAGGGGTGTAGACAGAGACAGAGAGACAGAGGCGTAAAAAGCACAGCGATATCAGATGGTCCAGACGGACTTCTAGCTATAGAACAAAACTTGGTCTTTGCTTAGGACACGCTAGAATCTTCTCTAAATCATCAAGGTTGCTTGTGATAGTGATCATCCAATGTCTGCCATGGCGGGGAATAATAATCTATGACGATCTTGCCAACAGACGATAACACTCACGTTTGGTCAATTACGTGAAACAAAATATGAGTAGTAGGTATATAAATCTGATTCTAGATTAAACAAAATTTAAATTTCTCTTCATTTTGAGTAGTTTAGTGCAAATAGGAAGATCGCATGGAGCTTGACATCTGAAGTACTGTTTCCCCCTCTCCACTATTTTATCCCACTACCAAATCTCCCTCTTTCAATATCGTCCTCTACTCCCTCGATTCACAGACAACACCCAGAAATGGACAAGAACACCAATAACTCCAATGAATTCAATGAAGCAGAAGCAAACGTGGCACCTCTTGCACCTTTTAGCTGTCTTCTTTGTCGGAAAAGCAAACTGAAGTGTGACCGCACAAGGCCATCCTGCAGTCGATGCAGCAAGCAAAGCTATGATTGTGTTTATTCCTTATCAAGGCAACCATACCAACGCAAAAGCCGTGGGCAGGCAAAAGAATTGGAGGCCAAACTCGGTATGTAGTGTTGCTCCTCACTGGTAGAATAATTGTTGAATTTGGTTACGATAGGACGCCTGGAGAGACTGCTTAACAGCTCGCAAGAGGCGAGGGTATCCAACATCACAAGCAGTCAACAAACGTCTAACTCTAACGCGACTGTTGGCAAAACGCCATCTAGTCAAGGCGAAAATGCAGTTGTGAGGCTGGGCCTGTTCGAGGAGGCGCCTCCTCGACAGCTGATCGAAACATTGTAAGACACCTGTCTATACACTTCAACCCATCGCCTCTGACTTAATAACAATTGGATCAGAATGAACATATACTTCAACAGAATTCATCAGGTAACACCCCTGCTACATCGCCAGAGATTCATGGCATCACTCTTCCTGCCAGACCATATGAAGCCTCCGATGTGTCTTCAATACATCGTCATGGCCTCTGCCGCAGAGACATCTGACGCCTACCGCCACTTGGGCATGGTATTTTACAAGCGTGCCGTAAAATATCTACAAGACGACCACCTGGGTGTATGTGTCGGTTGTGACAGCTGAAGATACCTGCTAAGCAAAGGACACAGGACACTAGTGAAAGCTCAATGACTCTAGGATATGTACAAGGTCGGGCTCTTATATCCTGTTTCGAAGCTGAGCACTCTATGTTTTCAAAGGCATCTATAACACTATGTTCTGCTATTAGAGCTGCACAGATGCTAAACCTGCATCAAATTGACGCCAAAGGGCCGGATAGGGGCCAGAATGTTGACTGGATAGGAGTCGAAGAACGACGCCGTACATGGTGGACCATATTCTGCTATGATCGCTTTACCTGTGCCACGACTGGATGGCCGGCACTTATACATGATCACAACGTGAGTTTCCCGCCAAAGCCTTTCTGGCATACCATTGAACGTCGTTTTAGATCAAAACTAGGCTTCCAGCCTCAGAAAAAGCTTATGAGAACGGCCAAGAGGAGAATACGCGCTTCCTCGGAGACCAGTTACTCGAATCCGAACAACACTCCACCTTTGCAGGAGCAGTGCTCGCAGCGCATATCTTCCACCGCACCATAGAGCATACTGGAACGAATAACAGCCAGGATCAAGAGGGTCAGGACTTTAACAGCGACTTGTACTGGCAGAGACATAAAGGCATTGATAATGACCTCAAGTTCATGTTGTTGATGCTGCCAAAGAATCTCTGTCTTCCTGCGAACTACAGGACTCACAACGCCATTTTTGTCAACGTCATGTTACAGACGGCCACTATCTGCCTTCACAGAGCAGCTTTGTGGAGGATGAAGTCGAATTTGCAGGGGCTACCGAGTTACCTGATCCGGCTATCTCAAGACCGTCTACTTCCGGCAGCTGAAGAAATACTTAACATTTTTAGAATGGTACCCGATCTTGGTGCTACGTTTACTAACCCCCTTATTTGCTTTGCTGCATATATGGCTGCTCTGGTATTTATGGCGAGTACATCTCCGACGGAGCCTAATGGAGAGCATGGTCAGAATCTAGATTTTATACTCAAGATTTTGGCTGCTTTTGGTAATACAAATCTCGTCGCTGATGCTTTGGCGAACGAAATTGTCAAGGAAATGAAGCAATGTGATATCTCATCTCCTTCTATGAACAAGGTTGGATATAAACACTCTTTTTCTGCTACACAAATACTTACAATTCATGCTAGGTCAATCTACAGGAGACGCCACTAGATATCCCATTACTCGCTACGCAACGTCTGTATTCCTATCCTCAGGGTTCATTCCCTTGAGGGTACTAGTAAGCAAACACCCTGGATGTCACATTCTCAATTATTCCATAAGACTTCCAAGACAAACACTACTATTATCACAACCCTAATGACTATCACAACTGTATCTTCAGCTTCAATACACAAAGAAACAAGGTTGGAACGGAGCTCCCTGAGGACTCTTTCGACTATTTGCGAGCAAAGTCGCTTTCTGTCTCAAGCCAAGTTCCGAATGTCGTCAACTCAGGGTACTCCTTTCTCAGCGCCTCCAAATCCGCACCGAAACCCTGGTCCTTGAACCACTTGAACATATAGCCCAACTCCTTGACCATCGCCATGATTGGGTAAACAACAAGACTATATGTGTATGGGAGATCGCGGCCAGTCTTCTCCTTGAAGACTTTTTCGAATTCCTCGAGCGTCAGTTCGTCACCTGCGAGTGACACGGCACGGCCAGCATATTTCTCAGGCTGAAGGAAAGCTTGTGCGCCAGCGACGCCCACATCGGTCACTGTGACGAGCTGAAGAGGTTTATTCTTGACAACCATCTTCCATGCTGTGACAAATGATTTCCCCAGGAAATTGTCCGTCAAGTTCTCCATGAAGGCCACAGGTCGAATGATGAACCATTGCATACCAGTGCCAGTGGTACGGGAAATCAAGTGCTTCTCAATCTCGTGCTTTGTAATGAAATGAGGAACTTGAGTTGGGTTGTTCAGAGAGTCTTCGCCGTGTCGGTCAACTGAAGTATAGACAAAGAACTTGGCCCCAGCATCCAATGCGGCATCGACAAGACCCTTTCCCTGGGCTACTTCGGCACCATCTCCTTGACCCATAGGGGACTAGTTACATGATCACGTTAACATCTCAACTACCTATAACCATCGAGAAGAGTGTACTTACCTGGACACTGAACACTCCCCAAATCGGCTGTTTTGTAACTTGGCGGGCATTTTTGAAGATTGTGGCTGCGTCAGACAAGTCTCCCTGTACAAGCCTGATGTTGGGTGATTTCTTGAGAAGCTTCTGAGCTGAAGGAGAATTGGGGTTTCTGGTGACGGCGAGAATCTCCACGCGGGCCTTTTGCTTGACGAGTTGGTTGAGAACAGCACCGCCTTGCTTTCCGGTCGCACCAGATATGAGAATTGCTCGTGACATTTTTATGATGTTCAAGTTGTTGACTTCTGAGGTAGAGTGATTATAATGGTATAAACTGATGAGTCAATTGCCTATGGAGATGATCTACAGACCTGCTATATAGTATTTTCTAAGAAGACAACCAGCCATCGCGATCTGTAGTCATCGCGATAGGGTTGTGTTCATTATAAAGCATTTCAGTGGCCGGTGCCCGAATACACCGAAGCTATGACGGCCACGATCCCGTGTCCATACCAAAACACGGGTTGACTATTGAGCTCCGGTGCAAGAGACGGCCGAAAGAGTGGAGACGGATTAATTTCGCCCTCCGAATTGTGCGGTTCCGTCCCGACCAGCTCCGATCTTCATGTTCGGATCGATTATCATCGGCAACACCAGCGCCAGTTATGAATGTGGATCTTTCATGGCAGTGGTTATGAAACGATCAGTGATGTATGTACAAACAAGTTTGGCCTGTCGATGACAAGAATAGATGCGGCGAATCTGTAGTTTTGCCGAGGACTCCTTAAAATATCTGCATGAGTTAAATTCTTCAGATATTGGTATCCAAGTTGTGGCAGCATCTTGGGTCCTGAATCCACCACTCTCGGGTGATCATCATTCGATACAAACGCAAACTATTCATGAAAAACTAAAACTTCAAAACTCAATGCGTATTTTCGGTGGTTTTATTCTTATTCTGGTAGTTTCTCGTGTCATAAAACGGGTCCAGATGAGAACTCAATTCGGGTTACTGATGAGAGTTATCGGCGTAACAAGTTAATGTAGTGTAAGATTTTGAATTGCTACTTGTAATGGAAAAGTGAAGCTTCCTAAGTCATGAGACAAAAACAAAGAAGAGATAGGTATATATCACAGCATCTGCACACCAGGCGCTGATGCGCCTTATATCTCGCTGCATACCGTGCACCACACTGTCTGATACTGTGCTCTACAACCCAGAGTCGGCAATTTGTGGATGCGTTTTGAAGCTTCACCCGAACAACACTATCGCGACCTGTGAAACCATTGGGAGCTGGCCCGGCCCAGCAACACTTCCCAGCCATGTCTGCCGCTCTCTTCAGATCACGAGCTGCCGTCTCCGGCACCCGAATTGCCCCCTCCGCCCGACCTGCTATTCCTAGGTCACAGCTCGTCCAGCGCCGCAACGCATCATCTTCCTCTTCAGCCGGTGACGGAGCTGCTCTCAAGCTTGCTCTCTACGGCACTATTGGTGCTGCTGCTCTATACGGCTCATACCTCTACGCTACCGATACCCGAGCTTTCTTCCACCGTTGGGTTGTTCCTCCATTCATTCGTTGGGCTTTCCCCGACGCCGAGGACGCGCATCATGCCGGTACCGTAGCGCTGAAGATGACTTATGAGTTTAACCTTCACCCTCGAGAGCGCGACACGACCCTCGACTCCCCTGAGCTCGCCGTAAATGTATTTGGAACCGAAGTGTCGAACCCAATTGGAATCTCTGCTGGTCTTGACAAGGATGCTGAGATCCCAGATGTACTCTTTGAGCTTGGAGCTGGTGTCGTTGAGGTTGGAGGCTGCACTCCTCTTCCCCAAGAGGGCAACCCTAAGCCTCGAGTTTTCCGTGTTCGCAGCCTCGATGGCATGGTGAACCGATATGGCCTGAACTCTCGCGGAGCCGACGACATGGCTATTCGACTGAGGGACAGACTTAGACGATTCGCCCGATCTCTTGGTGTGACTGAGAAGGATGTTCTCAATGGAGAGGCCAATGTTCCTCCTGGAAGTTTGCGCAAGGGCCGTCTTTTGGCTGTTCAGATTGCCAAGAACAAGGAGACGGACGAGCGGGATGAGAAGGCCATTGCCGATGACTATGTATACTGTGTGCGAAGACTAGCTCGCTACGCTGATGTTCTGGTCGTCAATGTCAGCAGCCCTAACACACCCGGTCTGCGAGACCTTCAGGCTACTGAGCCCTTGACAAGGCTCCTCAGCGCTGTAGTTGACGAGGCTGCCAAGACTGACCGAAAACAGAGGCCCAAGGTCATGGTCAAGGTGTCACCTGATGAGGATGAGGATTCTCAAATGGAGGGTATCGTTGAGGCTGTTCACCGAAGTGGTGTTGACGGAGTCATCGTGGGCAACACGACCAAGAGACGAGATGGTCTTGTTCCTGAGGGTATTAAGCTCACTGCTCAGGAGCAAAAGAACCTCATGGAGACTGGTGGCTACTCGGGCCCAGCTATGTACAGCCGAACACTCGATCTTGTTCGACGATACCGCAAGTTGCTGGACTCGCGTTCTTTCGCCGCAACAACTGGATCACCACAGAAGGTCATCTTTGCTACAGGAGGCATCACCAATGGCGAGCAGGCACGAAACATTCTCAACGCTGGCGCGAGTGTAGCCATGATCTACACAGCGATGACATATGGTGGTGCGGGTACTGTGACCAGGATCAAGCGGGAGTTAAAAGATGGTGGAAAGAATTAGACATGCTATAGCAACATTTCACGTTTTATTTGTTTGTCATAGGTATAAAAATGGGACAACTTATGAAGTTTAAGTGGTTTTATCTGCTTATCAATTTTTTTTTTTCTATATTTGTCTGGTTTTGATGTTAAAGCCCCCAGTACGCAAAAGAAGCTACAAGCCTTGAACTCTTGAAGAGTCATCAGCTGCTTCTCCATGTTTGAACATCCGTTGATTCGGCGCAGCCATATCAAGGACGAAAGACTGATCATCCAAATGAGATGTCAGTATGAAAACTTCCCAACTCCAAGAAACTACAGGGGACAAGGAGGAGTGGCTTAAAAGCCAGGCTCCTTGTCCAGCCACTGTCGAAGAGCATCGACATAACCTCTAATCTCGCTCTGAAGTGCTCTAATACGCTTGTCGGCGTCATCGATCTGCTTCAGTGCCTGATTCACATCGGCCTCGGTCGGATGCTTATAGGCTTGTGTAATCACTCCCTTGACATTTTTCTTGTTGATGATCAGTTTGAGATCACCCTCCAGAGACTGCAAAGTCTTCTTGCAGTCATGCACCCATTCGCGGCACTGGTTTGCCACGTTCTCAGAGTGCACTGTCACCTTTCTCTCGGTGATTTTAGCCTTGTCCAGATAGAACTGGTCAGCTTCCTTGTACTTTCGTCGCAGGATTTCGTACTCCTGCTGGAGTTCCTCCAGACTCCAGTTCTTACACTCCCCCTCCTTCGGGAGTGCCCAGCTCCTCTCTCGCATCTCTCCCGCATTTGTATCCTGTCGGCTTTCTGGCCTGCGCTTGGAGAAACCGCGTAGCAAGCCACGAATGCCGGTGGCATGTGCACCGTGGCCGGAGTCCTCGAACGGAGTCTGAGGAGAAGACATGGTGTTAGAATGCAAGTTGTATATGGAAGAATATGTAGACGGGATGAAGTGGTAAGGTGGTTTTTTTTGGCCTTTGTGAATACAAAAAGTTGAGAAAAGAGTACTGCAGTGGTAAAAGTGCTGTGAGAGGTGTTGAAGAGGCTGCGGGGATCTAACTGATGTTTGGTGATGGTTGAATAGTTGAGCAGAGACAACTCACTATTTATAAGGTGGATTTGAAATCATCCAGAGCTCTCCGGGTCGTCTTAGTTCGTGATAATCTATTGCTTGTGTAGAGCCTGTTCCGTGAAGGACTTCAGAACGATGCCACTGTGACAAGATTCTTTGGTTGTGACACTAGGTTCTCAGGAACTCCATCAACTGATATACTATTTCAATGTGTTACCTGGATCAGTTGGCAGGTATCTGGATATATGGGTTGTTTTGTGTCAAGTCGAACATGTAATGCTTGGTTTTCGAGTTCTCCCCCTTGTGATCCGGTGACACGACCAAGGTGTCTATATAGGTGAACAAGTCAATCCAGGCGTCGTTCTGCTGGCAGACATAATTTATGGGCTGTTCAGTGACCCAGGAAACTATCTTGTTGGTCTAGAAGCTACCAGATGTGGTAAGGGATCTATGTTCAGATTATCAGTACTGTAATAGAGATGTCTGTGAAAATTGCCATGACCTACAGCAACGCAATATCCGTCACAATAATTATCTTCGCAGCAAGGCTAGCATGATCTTTGTTTGGTAGCAATTCTAGTCGGAATTCCTATCAGTATCGTGTTCTGGGAGAAAGATATCGGGGTGTCTCCTTTACCTTTGCAACTTTGACCGTTATATCTATAGTACGTCGGCTCGTTGTCGACTCTAACACTCCTGCATATAGGTATGTAGAGAGACTGGTCTATGCATTATTTCGGTTTTGCAGTACCGAAGGGGGAGGTCTATAGTCGGGTGTTCCTGATGAGATCTGGAAGATATAGATTGATGCAAAGGTTGAGATCCACAAGATGCTAGAACCATATTGTCGCTCTTATATAACTTACATGTAGAGACTTAGGTAATTGCTTATCCTTTACTTGCTGTAGATCGTCAAATAGGGAGCTACGTGCTGCTGTGTATAACAGACGATACATGTAGTGCAGTAGTGTAGGGGCGTTCCACCAATAGGTGTTAATACGTGGCCCTGAAGTATGCAAGAAGCCTGAGTGCATTATGTTACCTCTGATGGGAGAAAGGAATTAACTTATTGGCGGGGTTTAGGAGGGTGCTTTGTTCGTGTATTAGACTAATGGGCACATCTATACTTTGTTTTTGTCTGTTTGAAAGAGCGTAGAGTTTACATTAACTAACAAATGTATCGACTCTCAGGAATAACTAAGTAGCTAGGGGAGGAAGGAAAATACAGAACCTTAATCCTAAAGAATAAAAAGACTTAGGTAATATAGTCTAAGCTTATAATAGCTTTTAATGAGTTTATTTTAGCACCCTATACTAAGGTTTGCTGTTTTTCTGCCCCGAGGGTCTAGATATCAAGTTATAGATAGAGTAGTATTCCGAGATATTTACCGGGTATCAGTAGTGTCTCATGTTTATCTGGCTGCTCATCTGAGGAGCCATTCACGTGCGCTCAATCTGCACAAGGTCGTATATAAGCTAGGTAAGATGAGATTCGGTTAGAGGCCTAACACCTTAACATTCTAATAACAGAACAACGAACAACGGCAAACAAGAAATCAACACCCGATATTTGACTGAATCATGGGATGCGACTGCTGTGGCCCTCCCGCATCAGCTGCGGAGTCGGTCACTGCTGAGACGCCTCCTCCAAGCGATATCGGAAGTTGCAAGGATGCTTGCTGTGATGGAGGCGACGCTGAGACTGAAGTTGAGGAGAAAGAGTCATCAAAAAAGGGACGGGACGATGATTGTTGTGCTTCTGGTAGCTGTGAGGAGCCGAACAAGGATGATGCACCAGAATGTTGCCGCGGAAAAACAAGCCCATGCTGCAATGCTTCTTGCATTGACCGTATCGCCATGCGAGAGTGTGAGCTGAGTGCTTCTCACAAGCGTAAGTTCTGAATACTCAAAATCACTGCTAGCGGCGCATTGCTAACACTTTGCAGCGGATGGAACGGGTTGCGGCAGCTCTAGCTCTAGCTCCAGCTGCAATGGCGCAGCTGACGGCAAGGCATGCAGCAAGCACAGTCTATCTGCTCTCGACCGCTACGGTGCAACTCTGAAGGCGCTTGGATGCATCTGCCGCGCTCTCATCGCTTTGGGTCAAGAGTCTTGCTGCGAGACCAAAAGCCGCTCTGTTGTCACCAAGCATTGCTCCAAGAAGTCGTCTTCCCGCTCTCTGATCCGCACTTCAACGGACTCTTGCTGCAGCACCGGCTCTGTCACGAAAGAAAAGGCTGCGGAGAACCGTCTTCGCTTACGAAAGGGTTCCAATGAGAGTGCCAGGTCCGCCAAACAGCTCCCTGTCAAGGAGAGCTGCATTAAGTCGTGCTGTTCCGTTGTTAAGCCCGACAAAGAAGCAATCCCTAAGAAGTGTGCCAACTCATGCTGTTCGGGAGACAACGCCAAATCTAAGTCTCCTGAACCTAGGCCTGTCAAAGGCAAAGATAAGGACGACTGTTCTGGTGGGTGTTGTTCCAAGAAGGCTGTACCCAAGAGCCCACTCATCGAAAAGAATTGTGCCGACAACTGTTGCAGCGATGGTGATTTTACCAAGAAAGTCGTTGAAAGCGGCGGGTGTCCCGATAAATGTTGCACAACTCAGCCGGAAGAGGTATTCACTGCCAAGAATGTACGAATGGCTGAAGTTGCAAAGAGCAACTGCGCAAAGTCCTGCTGTGACGAAGAAATAGCGGCGATCGTCAATGAGCTACCCAAGTCTACATGTGTCAGTTCCTGCTGTAAGCCAGCTGAGAATATCATCACCAAATCTTTCAACAGCTGTGCCGATTCTTACTGCGAGAAGGCTCCATCTGTCATCTCTCGAGACTCTCCGGCGGATGGTTGTTGCGTTCCTACGTCGCCGAAGGGAATGATGATTGAGACAGTTCAAAATCTCGAAGATATAGAGAACCAGACAACAGGAAAGGAACATGTGGTTCTCAGCATCTCCGGCATGACATGTACCGGTTGTGAGACCAAGCTCAACAGAACTCTCGCTACAGTCCCAGCTGTCAATGATCTGAAGACCAGTCTTGTTCTCTCACGAGCTGAGTTTAACATCGATCTTCGTCTCGGTTCAGTTGATGAGGTTATCAAGCATCTTGAGCGAACCACTGAGTTCAAATGTGAAAGACTTCAGACGAAAGGGTCTAGCTTGGAATTCATCGTGAATGGCAGCACGGCTGAGTTTATTGGCCAATCATGGCCCGAAGGGGTTCTGGATATGAGTCTTGTCGACAAAGATACTGTTCGGGTCTCATTTGATCCCAAGATCGTCGGAGCGCGAGACCTTGCTGAAAGATCTTGGGACCCTCCAGTTAACCTTGCACCTCCTCGCGGTGATTCGCCGCTTGAAGCGGGCAGTAAACATGTTCGCCATGTTGGGTACACCACTCTTTTGTCTGCTGTTCTTACAATTCCTGTTCTGGTCATGGCTTGGGCTCCGCTTCCTGAGAGGGAGGTCGCATACTCTTCGGCTTCCCTGGCTTTGGCCACCATTGTTCAGGTTGTGATTGCTGGGCCCTTCTACCCAAAGGCTATCAAGGCTTTGGTCTTTTCCAGAGTCATTGAGATGGACCTGTTGATTGTTTTGAGCACAAGTGCAGCCTACGTGTTTTCCGTTGTTTCATTCGGATATCTCATTGCTGGTAAGCCCCTTTCAACCGGCCAATTCTTCGAGACTTCCACTCTGCTTGTCACTTTGATTATGGTCGGACGATGGGTCGCAGCACTTGCTCGACAGAAGGCAGTTGAATCCATCTCCATTCGATCACTCCAATCCTCAACTGCAATTCTGGTCGACGAGACGACCGGCACGGAGCGTGAGATAGACGCCAGACTTCTTCAGTACGGCGATGTCTTCAAGGTTCTACCGGATACCAGAATCCCGACAGATGGAACAGTCATGAGTGGTTCGTCTGAGGTCGATGAGTCGATGCTTACAGGCGAGTCCAAGCCCGTGGAGAAGCACTTCAAGAGTGTTGTCATTGCAGGGTCTATCAATGGCCCTGGAGTTATGACAGTTCGCCTAAACCGCTTGCCGAGCGACAACACCATCAACGCAATCGCTGCTATGGTCGATGAAGCCAAACTATCAAAGCCAAAGCTACAGGATCTTGCGGACCGAGTGGCCTCATATTTCGTCCCCGTGGTTGTGGCGTTGACTATTCTCACTTTTGTTATCTGGGTTGCAATTGGCGTAACAGTCCGTGGCTATGGTGGCTCCAAGGCAACGACAGAGGCAATCACATATGCCATTGCTGTTCTCATCGTGTCCTGTCCTTGTGCGATCGGACTTGCAGTACCAATGGTCATCGTTATCATGAGCGGAGTCGCAGCAGAAAGAGGCATCATTTTCAAATCTGCAGATGCTATCGAAGTTGCTCACAAGGCCTCCCACGTTGTTTTTGACAAGACTGGAACCTTGACTCAAGGAAAGCTTACTGTCGTTACAAATGAGTGTGTCGATAAAAGTACTCTTCCTCTCCTTTTGGGCCTGATAGAAAATAGTCGTCATCCAGTCTCCATGGCTGTTACGGGTTACCTCAGGAGTATTGGCATTGAACCGTCGGTTGTAGGCGAGCCAAAGAGCTTGACCGGTAAAGGCGTTGAAGCAGTTGTAAAGGGTCAGAGGTTGAAAGCTGGAAACTCTACATGGCTCAATCTCTCGGATGATCCTCTTGTTCAGCCTATGCTTTCTCAAGGTTACACCGTCTTTTGTTTCACAATCAACGACGAACTGCAGGCCTTGTACAGTCTTCAAGATGAGCCTCGGAAGGACGCCTTTGCGACGGTTGAAGCTCTGCACATGCGAGGCATCTCAGTCCATGTGGTTTCTGGAGATGATGACATGGCTGTTCAAAACATAGCATACAAGTTGAACACCCCACGAGACAATGTTCGCTCACGTACTTCACCTTCTGGCAAAAGGGACTATATCCAAACTCTCCTCGGCACTTCCACTGATCGCAAGAAACCAGTCGTCGTCTTCTGCGGCGACGGTACAAACGATGCAGTAGCTCTCGCCCAAGCCACCATCGGTGTTCACATGAATGAAGGCACAGATGTAGCCCAGTCCGCGGCCGACGTCGTTCTCATGCGTCCCAATCTAAGCGGTATTATCACTATGATAGACGCGAGTCGAAAGTCGGTCAACCGCATCAAGTTTAATTTCGGATGGAGCTTCGTGTACAATACTTTTGCCGTTCTCCTGGCTGCGGGGGCATTCGTCAATGCCAGAATTCCACCGGAATATGCAGGTCTTGGGGAACTGGTGAGCGTTCTGCCGGTTATTCTTGCGGCTGTGCTTCTGCGCTGGTCGAAGATCTAGTCAGGATATTGAGACTCAACTTTGTAACAGCACAGCTTCTGTTCACTCTCATTTATCTTCGACCAGAAGTCCCAAAGCTGAATATTTCTTTCATGTTACGCTTGATTTCGACCAGCACAGTGTCGCACGCCTGTCGTTTCCGGCCTCTATTGATTTGAATTTCAACGACTTAAAGTGTCCTTGGACGCCCAGAAAACATTAGTACCCTTCTATCCAAGCTCCATGATGAGCTTTCTTAAACTACTGCGAGTTCTAAGATAGACTTGGAGAAGGCTGGAGGGTGATTCGCTCAGTTTCTTCTTCAGTGTTCACTCGCTTTTACTACGTAGGCAGATAGTCTTCATTGTCCGTCACCTTGGCTTTGTTACAACAGCGAAGCTGAGCTGAGCAATGCCATTGACTCCTATAGTGCCTCTCACCATGTTCCTAGTCTTGAATTCTGACCTCATAGTGAAATGGTTCCATATATTATCATAAGTACACGATCTGACATTTATAAGTAACAAATCTCTCCCATTTATACTGCCAGAGTATAAATGCTCTATCCAGAAGTGGGCATGAGCTCAGTTTATGCCTCCAACCATTATTACTCCCCAAAGTCCGTACCTTATTTTACAATATTAGTATTACATTATTATGCCGTTCAAGCAACAAATAAACCGACTTTCAACGATCTGCTTGAGCCATTCCTAGAAAACAATTGCCGAAATCAAGATCCAAATACAAGTCCCAACGGTAACTCAGCCAGCCACACCCAGCAGGAGAAAATGGGTACAAGAGCGAGCAGAATCCACCAAATTTCAATGGTGAGTTTGATTTGCATCCAACGTGGTAGTGTTCTACTTAGCAATGAACGATGGGAGCATGTCCTTGTCCCATAAACAAGACAGCCAAGGCCAGGCCGAGATTCACATTCCACATGTTCTCGTCTTCGTTGCATAAGTAGACTATAACAATTAGTCGATGATTTGTTTCGGTCACATCAAAGGATATTGACTTACGGTACACTACCGCGGCAGAAACGCAGATCACTACCGAGATCGCACCGCCGGTCGTTGGGGCATTCTAGATGGAGACTCCGTCGTTCCACTAGCCATTCCACTTTGAGGTTGATACCAGTATCGACAAGGCTATAGAAATAGGCGCTGGTGTGTTTTAAAGATAGTGCATCTGGATAGATGAGGAAATCGGATATGGCGAGATGTAATTCTGTTGGTAGGGACATGAATGTCCGCTGTCCGGAGGCCTGCCCGGCATCGGGGCCGGTTGTGGGGCAACGGCTTCGGACGTTGGACATTGTGGAACGGAGCGGAACGATTGAGTTTCGGGAGGGTGACGAATTACTATGAAGCCTTTGATCTAAGGTAGATCTGGGAAATATGCGAATGCTTTGTATCCGGCTGCTGCCTTGAACGAGGTCAAGGACTTGGAAGCCTAAACGTTAGTTTTACCTAGGACAGGGCCAGGCCAGGGGATGTTGTAGGCAGCGCCTAAGCCGATAGGGCAGTGCAGAATCTAGGTCATTTATTAGGTCGTTTCAAGGCACTTTCAGCTGTTAGGACTATATTGTTATAGAATTGGGTTCAAGGCTGAGAGAGTTCGAGTTTTATGTTGTTTATTGCTACTCGAGGAGGCAGCCAAATATCTACCTATTCTACCTATTTCGGTTGTTAGACGAGTGAAAGTAAGAGTGAGAGTGAGAGCCGAATGCGGGCATGTCTGTTTGCAATAGAGACATGGCTATGGGCCTATACCATGGGCCTATTGTTATGGCTATAGTTAGTACTGTTCTCCACACTCAGACTAGCCCCAGAATATTGCTATTGTTTGTCTTGGACTCAGCTGATTCATCTGCGAACATCAATTAATCACGAGATCAATACCTTGCCTACGGAATACTATAGACATTCATTCTGCCTAATAAGGAGGTATTCTAGGCAGCTGCGTATCACTTCCAACACCCCACGTGACCCCGTGTACTCTCGCGTCTTCCCTCTTCTACAGACGCCAAAACTCGTCCTCGTCATTCATCATCAAAAACCCTTGCTAAATTTAGCTGCAAGTGCCATTTTCCCCGCCGCATCCATTCCCTAAAACAATGATTCATCGCCTCCAACGAGAGCGGCTGCGATGACGTTAGATAGCGATAACGAGTTCGGTTACGATTTCTCTGTCGAGGAGGAAGAATTGCTCCTTCAATTGTCTGCTGAAAGCAACAACGTCCCCAATAACGCAGAGATCGCGGCTATAGACTCTGTTCCTGAGAGGCACGATAGCCTGCACCCTCAAAATGTCGCTGGTGGCACATCATCAACTTCTGGCGTGGACCGCCTTCAAACAGGCTCCACGAATAATCTGTACAGAGGCAAGGCCTTTCATCAGCTCGACACTTCTTCTGGTCTGCCAACGCCGCCGCCAGCTTTATCTTCAATCGAGGACGTACTCTACCCGGATTGTACGTGATGACACCCTCAAGAGGCTTCAGCACTAACTGACCAAAGAGATTAGTGAGCAAAGCCTTGAAGGATCTAAAACCAAAGCCACCTCCTGAATCAGAATCAAGTGTCACTCCGACACCAGCAACTGAGGCAGTCGAGGCTGATGCGTACGATGATGGCCGCTCACCTCTGCAGCGGTTCAGGTCATATCCTAAGAGACCACTGACCGTGACCGATCTCACGTCTGGTGCTTGGTGCGAGCTGCAGTACTGGTATACCCTCACTCGCTTACCTGGAGGTCGGAGAACCAGAACAGCAGCCATGAAGCAAGGAACCAAAGTTCATAAAAAGCTTGAAGATGAAGTCCACACTACAGTTCAAATTGACATCATGACCAAGGAAGACGCATTTGGACTCAAACTGTGGAATCTAGTTCAAGGACTCAGAACCTTGCGAGACACAGGACTCACTCGTGAACTCGAGGTATGGGGCATGATTGATGGGAACCTCGTCAATGGAGTCATCGATAGCGTGAGCTATGAGAACCCCAATCCTGAATTTGAAGCAGAGCTCTCTAGTCAAGAGTCTGACACGACCGGACGACAATCGTCATTGACTGACTATTTTCCACCAAAAAACACAAATCAAAAGAATGATTCGGGACCAAAGATTTATCTCGCAGACGTCAAGACTCGCGGATCATTTTCCCCTGTTTCCAACGCTCAAATACGGCCTGCAAAGATTCAGTTGCTTTTGTATCATCACTTCTTGTCTGATATGGCTGCTGGAAAACTAGATTTCTTCAAAGTCTTTCGACGATACGGACTTGATCCAGATGACACCTTTTCAGATACTTTCATTGCACAAGTCGGTAGCCTACACGATGAGATCTTTGTGGATGCGTCAGAAACAGAAACGGAGTTCACCCAAGAACATCCTTCGTCGAGTTTCCAGAGCTCTTCTTCAGCTGGACCAGATCTGTTGCAGTATCGAACTCTACGCGAACTCGTCCCTCTTGTCGAGCACGAAATAGAGCTCACCTTCCCTCGGGGCGAACACTCTCTTGGACACATGCTTCGAGTTCAATACGTCCACCGCAGCGATGGCCGTGAGATCGATCTTCGCGACTTTCCTGTTTCGAGACAAGCTTTGGAGACCTATCTTGCTAACTACATGGATTGGTGGAAAGGTGAACGCGACGCGAGAGGCGTCGATATAGAGGAAGCATTCAAGTGTAGAACATGTGAATTTGCTTCCGATTGTTCATGGCGTCAGGGCATGGATGATGAGATGTTACAGAGAGCCAGAGCGCAGCAGAAGATACGGGCTACGCGTCGGGCGCGCAGCAATGCTGCGTAAGATGACAATCTGGATATCATGAGTTATGATGCATTGGAACATGTTATGAGAATTGTATGAACTGTTTAGGTCTATGAAATCCATAGAAAGATGTTGAGGATAAACAAGACATTTTGTTGAGAAGTTGCATTGATTCATACTGATTTCTATTTATTGTCTATGCCGAAGTTGTCTATGTGAACGAAACGAAAAGGAGGAGCTGCAGAGTGTTCACTACCTATGTTTAGTGCTTTCTATGTCGGTGCGTACGGGTCATTCCAAAACCCCATCCATCTATATCATCGTCAGCTTAGTCTTCGAAATAGCAAATACTGGGAACTTACATTGAGAAGCGACGTGGATGTCAACATCCAGTTCATCTGCCCAGTGCCAGACAAGGTTGGGGTCCTTGAGGAACCCCCGTCCCACCAACACGGCATCTACAGAGCCATCACTCAGATAGCCCTGGGCCTGCTTTCCAGAAGTTATCATTCCAACCGAAGTCACAGCAACTCCGGTATCCTTGACAGCTTCCTTCACGGCTGCAGCATATGGGACTTGGTAACCGGGGCCAGAAGTGATTTTCTGACGACTATCCAAACCACCTCCTGAAATATCGATCAGATCGATGCCGTTTGCGGCGAGGATATGACCGAGCTTTGCGGCTTCCTCGATATGCCACTGTGGTAAGGACGAATCGAACTCAAGGTAATCTGTTCCTGGCATGCGGACAAGAAGGGGAAAGTCCTCGGGGACGATATCGCGAGTGGATCGAACGGTCTCGAGAAGGAGGCGAATACGGTTTTCGAAAGATCCTCCGTACTGGTCTGTTCGTTGGTTTGAGGCTGGGGAGAGGAATGCGTTTAGAAGATAACCATGTGCAGCGTGGATTTCGATGGCCTAGCGAAGTCAGTGTCTATCAAGTCAGATGTGCTGTTTGGAGGTCTTACATCAAAGCCAGCCTTGAGTGCTCTTTTCACAGCAGCAACCCAATCTTGCTTGAATTTGGCAATATCATCGCTTGTCATCTCCCTGGGAGTAAGAGAGTCTGGACTGTAGGGAATTGCACTTGGTGCAACCACTTCGTCCGGCCAGCCACCAGCCTGTAAGTAATGAGTCACTGATCATATGCTGTAGTGATGAGTATCGTACCTCTTTGACAGCTGTGTTCTTGCGGTCCAGCCAGGGCACAACAGTACTCGCTTTTCTTCCCGCATGGCCCATCTGAATCGCAATCCTCGCGCCCTGGCTGTGGACGAAATCCACAATCTCCTTCAGAGGTTCAAGCTGTCCATCTTCCCAAATACCAGCATCTTGAGGGCTGATTCGTCCTTCTGGTGACACCGCATTTACTTCCGTGATGATGAGTCCAGGGCCACGAGCGGCGAAACTTCCGAGATGTTGTTTGTGCCATGGGGTCATGTAGCCATCCTTAGCAGAGTATCTAGAATGTTTGTTAGGTATTTCTTAGTGGCATGTGAGGGGGTGCTACATACTGGCACATTGGTGACACGATGATACGATTGTGGAGCGTTAGACCTCGCAGTTTGAGGGGGGAGAATAGGCTGCCTTCGGGTTGGACATCCCACGGGGTTCCTGCAGGAGGGTCTTGGATAGGAGTGTAGAAGGGGACCTGTGATTGTGTTAATCGAGGATATGAATTGTGAGTTTTTCAAAGAGACAAACATTTTTGGCTCCGACGTTGATGAGAATCTTTTGGTGATCGTTTGCTTCGACTGAACCCATGCTGATATTTGACAAGGCAAGGATGTTATATGTAAGGTTATTGGTAGTCAGTGAGAGTGGTAGTGCAAGAGTTAACTAAGAGCAATGGACTTGAGTGGAAGAGGTTTTCTGATAAAGGAGGGAAGGCCATGTACTTATACTTCACCCAAGAGAAAGCGTTTACACTATAAAATATCTACCTATGTAAAAATATGCAAGTTCTCACAAACACAGCAATGAGCATTTGTCCCTTCCTCCGGACCAACTCCTCCATGTCACTACCATCACAAATTCAGAGACCAGTGACATCTAACGTTGAGACTTGCGATAAACCCGAATAGCGAGTCCTCCAAAAACCCATGTTTCACCAAAAGCTATTCAAGGTAATTGTCGTAATCACATCATGTTCTGCATCGGCTTCACCGGATGGGATATCTTGGTTTTCGGTTTTCGGCATGATGCATCGCTTATGAATATGCGTGGCTTGCGTTACCAAGAATGCATGGAACGTTGAGTGACGAAAAATCTACTGATTATGTTGAGTGTTTCCCGAGTGAGTCGGCCGACTCTCAAATGAGCTCTATTGGGTCATTGATAACATCCATTCTTATTATTGGGTTGGTGCTTTGCGATCAGCCACGTACCTTGTGAAATTATTTCGCAGAGCCTGAAAATGGTCTACCGACCTTCAACTAGAATGTTCAATAATTAGAAAGCCTAAGGAAGAGGAATAATTAAGTTACAGTTGTTGTGGTGTTGCGAATACTAAGTTCAAAGATCCTCAGGACCCAAAGTGATTTAGGTTAGTTAGGCAGCCTTTAATTCTGGAAGAACTTCCCTTCTTCAAGCATCACTTACAACTACAACTGATCCCCCACAGCCCTGGCATCATGCAGCGCTATAGAGAAGACGCCTCTGACGAGAGCCATGATGAAGAAGACATTCCTTTACACTACAAGCGGGCTTTCGGTGCGGGACTGAAGCGACAAAGGGTCGAGTTTGTTCCCGCCCAAGACCCTGATGCTGGAACCACAACCACAATAGCACCAGTCAAATCAACAGACACTTCCATCGGCGATTTATATGCTAGCATCGTTTTAAAGCCTTCCGAAGACAAAGATAACAAAGTCTCAGAAGAAGAGCCAGAGGAAATATGTCCAGACTGCAAACTCCCCATCTCATCCACTTCACAGCCTCACGAAGCATCCTTCGCTCACCAAGTCTCACTCACACACTCACACCCCCCATCGGCACTTGATCGCTCGCGCATGGGTCTCAAAGCCCTGAAATCTCAAGGTTGGGACCCTGATGCCCGACGAGGCCTAGGAAGAGAGGGCGAGGGAATGCGATACCCTATCAAAGTGGTAGCGAAAGAAGACACTCTCGGCATCGGAGCGACGATACCGAAGGAGATCCAAGAAAAGAAAAAGGAAGAGAAGCCCAGGCCATTAAACAGAAAGGAAGCGAAGCAGCTCGCAGCTAAGGAACGACAACGACATGAGAGACTACAGGGTGCGATTTATGGGAGAGTTGATGTGGAAAGCTATCTGAAAGGAAAAGGCGACGATGGTTGATGATACAAGGCAACGGAAAAGACAGTCAAAGACAACTCGAGGCACCGGCTACATTGTATCCGGTCTACGATATCACAGGCCATCATCACGCGGTTAAAGAGATGCCTGTTCTAGGACTCGTTCAAGGACTCCCCGCCGGATCAGAACACTCACCCGAAAAGACAACACTTGGCGACTATGCTGTAGTCCACCTGAAGCCATCACAGCTGGACGTTTGGCCTCAGATGAACGCGATGCCAATTCGATCAGCTCCGATCTCGAGAGCTATTTCCAGTCAACTGGGCTTAAGCACTTAGGCACTGACTGAGGTATATCAAGAGTTTCAGATTGAACCAAGTGTTTCATGTTGCATAAACGAAACAGTGATAAACATACAAATATATCTCTATCGAGATCTTCAACAGAGTCTACACAGATTGTGTTCTACCTAAAAAGTCAAGATATGAAGTTGAAATATACTCTAAATTCAAGCATCTGTGATGACCTCATCGAAGTTGAGGCTGAGGCTGATACACCGCTCCCTATGCCATGCTGCTGATGCTCTGTCCTGTAGGCTTCCTTTAGGGACCTTTATAGCGACCATCACTAACCAACCACCGGGCGCTAGCGACTGCAAGACCTGGACCCACCTTCTTCATGCCTTCTATTGGGATGATGAAACCCCGCCAAATGGAAAGCCATCCATCCATAGTTAGCACATCAACTCCTGACTTTGGGCCCAAACCAAACTTAGAATCCTCGATACTTGAGCAAAACCTCTCAACTTTAGCCACTTTACATTGCACCATTTTTCTTTTAACTTAACTTTGATACCCCTGCGCTTCCCTGCATCGCTTCAATTTCAAGGTTCTGGGCTGGATCCTACCGCCGCTTCTCTCCTTGTCAAACACTATCTCAGCCTCCCTCAATATCTCCATACCCAACGACGTGACAGGGCAGCCCGCCTTTACCATACACCATGGGGCTGTCCGTCATTCAAGAGCAGCATGATGGTATGACATATACGATACAAACACTATGCACAATTAGTTGCTAATGCGCCGGCTTCAGCTATCTTGGGGCAGATCAAGAAGATCACTCGAGGCGATGTAAGCTACCTATCAGCCAAGCTTTGAGCTCGACAGTTGACTGACGTCTTTGACGCAATAGTGGAAATGCCTGATCGTCGACGAGAACTCCAAAAAGATCATTGACAATGTCGTCAAGGAGGATGACATTCTCAACAACAATATCGCCAGTTGGTCTATCTGACTGCCAGCTTGTTGTCTGGTACTGACCAGCCTTTCCTCCAGCTATCGAGCGAATCGAGAACCGTCGCGAACCGAACCCTGAGATGGACGCAATCTATATTCTGTCGCCTGAATCATTCGCTGTCGAGTGCCTTCTCGCCGACTTCGAGATGCGACGTTATCGCAGCTACTACCTCGTCTGGACCGGCCTCCTCGACCCCTCATTGCGACGCAAGATCGACGACTTTCCTGGAGCCCGACAGCTCCGCGCCGGTTTCCAGACCATGTTCGTCGATTTCTTGCCTCGAGAATCGCATCTCGTTACCCTTCGCGACCCCTGGAGCTTTCCCATGCTCTTCCACCCAGCCTGTAACGCCGTCGTTCCAACCCACATGAAGGGTCTAGCGCAAAAGGTAAGGCGGCAGCATGCTTCGGCCGGATGACGTTTGTTGATAAGAAGTTAGATCGCCGGTCTTTGTATTACACTCGGAGAATACCCCAAAGTTCGTTACTACAAGCCGCAAAGCGCACGCCACGAGGCAGCCGTCCTCTGCACTCACCTGGCTCGATTTGTCCAGGAAGAGCTCGATGCGTATGCGCAATGGGACACCAGCTTTCCCCCACCCTCACCGCGGCCACAAGCGACACTCGTCATCACAGACCGATCGATGGATTTGATGTCACCTTTGGTCCATGAGTTCTCCTACCAAGCCATGGCACACGACCTCCTGCCGATCAAGGACGGCGACAAGGTCACTTATCGTACGACAATCAACGAGGGAACCCCAGAAGCTGAAGAGAAAGATATGGAGCTCACAGACAAGGACAAGATATGGGTGGACAATCGACACAGACACATGAAGGACACGATTGACAAACTTATGGGCGATTTCCAAAAGTTCCTCCAACAAAACCCCCACTTCACCAACGAGAATGCCGACACGACCAACCTTAATACGATTAGAGATATGTTGGCAGGCTTGCCGCAGTTTCAAGAGATGAAGGAGGCATATTCTCTGCATCTGACCATGGCGCAAGAGTGTATGAACATTTTCCAGAAGCACAAGTTGATGGACATCGCCTCTATAGAGCAAACGCTCGCTTCTGGACTGGACGAGGACTTTAAGAGACCGAAGAACATTCTCGAAATGATCGTACCTCTGTTGGACGACGAGGCCGTATCACCTTCAGACAGGCTGCGCCTCATCATATTATTTATTCTCTATAGGGATGGTGTAGTTGACGAAGACATCAAACGACTCTTGGCCCACGCCTCCCTCCCTCAGTCTGACCGCGAGGTCGTACTAAACTTTGAGCAGCTTGGTGGACATATGACACATGCGCTCAAGGATGTGCGTCAGATCCCTCCGCCTCTATTCCCGATCGATCCAAAATCGACACAATTGAACGAGGAATATGGATTAACACGATTCGAGCCTGCAATGAAACACATGGTGGACCATCTGGCAAGGGGCCTGTTAGATCAGACTCACTTCCCTTATGTGAAGCCACCACTGGACCCCAATGAGGAGCTTCACTTAGCACAGGGAGGTTCTCTTCGTGCCGGTCGACCAAATTGGGCAGCAGCTGGACGCCGTCCACCAGAGAATCGACAGCGATTAATTGTCTTCATGGCTGGAGGTGCTACATACAGCGAGAGCCGATCATGCTACGAAGTCGGCGAAGCGCGCAGTCGAGATATTATTCTCGTCACTTCTCATATGATTACTCCTCAGTTATTTATTCGCCAAGTAGGCGATCTCAGTCGCGATAAGCGTCAACTTGACTTGCCCCTGGAGCGACCGAAGCGACACGCTCCACGGCATCTCTTTGAGCGACCAGCTCCTCCTCGCCCAGCACCATCACAACAGCCCTCGCAGCAAGGACTGCCGCCTGGTCCCACGAACCGACCTGGCGGTCTTCCTTCAAGACCTGGCCCTGGCCCTGGCATGGCGCCTCCAACAGCTGCCATGTCAAACATGTCGATTAATAATAGCCACGGTAACAACGCAGCACCGCCACGGCCGACATCCCACCACAGTGTCCAACAACACCATGAAGAGCCAGGCAAGCTCCACAAGGAAAAGAAGAAGCGCAACTTCCTCGGTATCAAGAAGTAGGGTTCTTGGAACGGGGGTCTCTCTTCAGCTTCTCCGCCGAAACACAGGACCATTCGACGATCGCAGACTACAGAAACGTCGACTTCGTCTGAAGATTACAATACAAATGCGTCGCATAAGCCAGAAAGGAGTGCTTCCAGTAGAAGTCGGTTGGATGGTTCTTCAGCCTAATGTAGCTTCTCAGTAAAGCACATGGTGGAATTTCTGGTTTCGTAATTCGTCGACGTAGCGTGGCGTTGTTCTACCGTCTTTTGTGTATTGGCTACTATCTATCTTGGAAGTATTACTTAACTTGGTAACTCGGATGGTTGGGAGACGTTCATCCGTATATAACAGTTGTAGTGTATAAACGTCGTGAATTCTTTGTTCTCGTCTCAGTATGACCTTGGAAGTAACTGCTATTTACTCCTCATCATCACATTAATAGAAATCGTCATGATCATCGTCGGTAAATACCCAGACAAAAAAAAAAAGGAAGCTGCCGTAATCGCCCATCAACCAATCCATTTGAATTCACTACCTAACTTTCACCGAGTTAAACCATCATGCCTATATCCCTTGATTTCCCCCCATCGCCGTGCTTCCCAAAAAATGACACGTAAAAAACAAGTTACTAGCTACAGGGCGTGCCCTGATTCCAAGCATGCGTCCAAAAGATGCGGTGAGTTGATTTCGGTAGATATTCGTACAGTAGTGGAAGAAGCCCCTTTGTTAATTGTAAGGCTTTGACTTTCAAAAGTTTCTGCAGACAGGCTGATTGGTTTTCCGTACACAGGTGGTACAGACTTTGTGGTTGAAGGGTGCTTGATTCGATGTGTTGAAGCACGGTATTCGTGTGAGATGTGATTAAGGTCTCCCGAAAGCAGCACCACGGCCGTTGCCAGGAGGAGGCATACCGCGGCCTTCAAAGGGACCGCCAGGGAAGTCAGGTCCAGGGGGGCCGTTGAAGCCGCCGAGTCCAGGGGGGATGAATCCGGGAGGAAGGCCGCCGTAGAAGGCAGGGGGAGGCATGTTTCGAGGAGGAGGGCCACCCAAGGCCTCGAGAGGAGGCATCACGCCAGGAGGGAAGTTGGGAGGAAACATGTGAGGCATGGGCATGTTACGGTTGGGTCCAGGGCCGCCAGGGCCACCGAGACCAGCAGGAAGTCCTGGGGGAGGCATCATAGGACCTCGCGGCTGAGGAGGAGGCATTTGGCCACCAGGCATCCAGCTGGGAGGCATCTGATGGTCCAGACCAGGAGGCGGAGGTGGGCGTTGCAAGATCTGCGTAGGCTGATTGGGTCGAACATCAGCATCAGGAGGGTTGTGGAATCGATCATCCATAGGGAAACCAGGCGGTGGTTGGCGCATTTGACGCTGAGGACCACGGTCGTCTCTGGGAAAATCGGGCTCCTGGGGCATCTGCGGTGGCTTCTGCTGCTGGGGGCCCATGCGCATCAACAGTTCATTGCGCTGGGCGTCAGGAGGTGCTCTCATGAGATTCATCAAGAACTCAGTGTTACTGTTGTTACGAGCGGCATCAGGACGTCCAGAACCTTGACTGGGGGCTCGCTGGCGCTGGCCAACGAGATCCTGGAGAAGTTGCTCGGGGCGAGCAGCTTGTGGCTGGGGTCGAGGTGCAAGAATCTCTTGAACATGCTGAGGAGGGACTCGGCCAATGGGACCGTCCATTCGTCGATCAGGTCCATACTGCTGGAAAGGAGATTCGGGAGAGGTAATGGCGTTGGGCCTGCCAGCATTTGGCGGCGTACCTTGAGGGGCAGCAAACGCGGGCAGTCCTGGTGGTGTAGCGCTCATCGTCTGTTTCTGTAGCTTTGCCAGTAGTTGCTGGAAAGCTTGTCGCTCATCTTCGCCACCTGCTGGAGGAGCTGGGCCGCCAGCAAAGGGGAGAGGCAAAGACATACCACTGTTGACAGGAGGTCCTGCCATAGGAGTTGGAGGTTCCGTTTTGCCTCGAGGCTCCTCCTGGGGTTGCGAAAAGAAAGACGTAAACCTAGAAGATTTGCCAGATGCCTTTGGCTTGTTGACAGGTTCTTTGGTCTCCTCAGCGAGAGGAGTGTCCAGACCAGCATTCGATCCAAACGCCATGAAGAACTTATCAGGTCCAGCTTGAACCGCTGGGGCAGATTGCACAGGGGGCTTTTCAGCCTCGATCATGGCTTCAGCTGCCTCGACATTCGCGGATTTACCAGGAGCAGCAGGGATTCCAGCCTTGGCCTTCTTCATGTCCTCCATCCACTTCTGGAAATCTTGCTGCGTATGAGCCTCGGGATGCTCCTCAAGAGGTTCGTCTAGCCATTCAGGCTCACGCTCGACTCTTTGATCACGGTCTCGTCCCCATCGTCGATCATTGGTGCGATTGTTGTTGTTGTTGTGACTGTTGTTATTGTGGCGATCATCAGGAGTATCAGCGATCGCATCGCGGTCTCTCCAGCTCTTCGCGCGGTCAATTCGTTCACGCTTGTCGGGGGTAGTAGTAGCTTCAACAGCCGGAGTGGTGACTGCGTTGGACTCGTTCTTGTACCACGGCTCAGTTTTGTTCCTGTTCGTTCCGTTTCGAAGTCTGCTCTCGTCGTCTCCATCTCTGGCGAAAGTGTCAAAGGTTCGTGCAGGGCGATCTCGAGCAGCGTCGTCACGTTCTTTGGGCTGTCGCTTGTCATCTCGGAAGTTGCCTCCCATGCGTCCATGGAAACGCTCAGCACCCTCGTGGCCAAAACTCTTGCGTGGCTTCACAGTGCTCCAACCGTCTGATTCGCTCTCGCCTTCACGTCGGCGGTACCCATTGCTATTGCGTCCATCGCGGAATCGGTCAACGTCAAGATCTCCATTGCGACTTCTAAAGTTGCCGAAACGCCCTGAAGCGTCAGACTCCTTGGTAGCTTTGTCCGTTTCGAGCGATGGTTTGCCTCGCGCTGAAGCAAACGCCGTTCGGGGTGGTGCAAAGACGAGGTCTTCAGGGTCTGGATAGGTGCGCGACGGTCAGTACACGGAGAGCCTAGGAGCGAAGAACAGGAGAGACAAACTGGCACTATTCCTTGAAATGTGTCTCTCAACACCAGGGCGGCGATTACTCTGGTCAAGCAGAGGGTTGTCGTTGGATCGAGGTCGGTCACCAGGAACCTTTGTCTGTGTGCGATTTGGTTCAGGTGGGGGTCTAATCTAGGTCAGGAGACTTGAATATGGCTTGAGGAAATCATTGCTACTCACCCCATCCAGTCTTCAGCTGGAGGTAGGCTTGGTGGTTTGGTACATAACGGTGATTCCCGTAAGTAGATCAAGAAATTGGCTTCATAGCGGATTACCATGATGAAGAAAAGGTTGGCGCTATGAGCGCATTCGAGTTATCGGCGGTATAGTATAAAGAAGTATGAAGTGTCCCGAGGTGTACGCGGAAGCGCAGTGGAGATAGCCTTTAGAGAACTGTATTCTCTTGAAGAACGGCAGCTTCGAGTTCGGACAGAGTGTGGTTTTTGGAAATTTATTAGTTGTTGGTGTAACAAGCAGGGATGACGACGTGGCGACAAGTTGCGATAGCGGAATGATTATTGTGCGGAGAGTAGGACGATCAATTCGTTCGGTCGGTGAGTCAGGTGAGGAGAATCCGCAGAGTGAGTATCGTGAAGTGAATTCAGGCAGCGGTGTCAACGATCGAGGTAGGGGACTTTGGTGAACAAGAGCGTGAAAAAGAGATCAGGTCGAGCGGGTTGGTGGTTGGCGGAGAAGGGTGACGTCCTAAGGTAGTGGTGCACTTTGTGGTTGTGCTGGACTGTGGTTTGCTGTGGTTTGCTTTGCTGGTGGTGGTGGACAAGGCGAACCAGAGGTGGAGCCAAGCAAGAGCTGGGCTTTATCGAGTCGAAAAGCCCCAATCACGAACAAGCAGGGGCCCAGCGAGGGAGAGAACGTATTGTAATTATTGGTTCGCCGAGCGGGTAAATATTGATTGACTTGGTACAAGTATTGAAAGATGTCCAAGGGTTCAGTGGAATGATGTAGAAGGCGGGCGGTTTAGCGGAAAGCGTGACAGTGTATAACGGTGCGCAAGACGCAGGAGATGGTTGAGGTGGATTGGTTTGGGTCTTGGGATGTACCGATATCGAGGGTTGTTTTCGGTGGCTTTTGACGTGGTTGTGAGAGGGGAGAGACCGAAAGCGGGCGAGAAGGTCGAGAGAGGTGAGAGAGTGGAGGAGACGAGAGAGAATAGCGAGCGCGAGGGCTTGAGTGTCCAGCGAGCGACACTTGTTAGCGCTGTTAGCGTGAGTGACAGTTGGCAATAGAACAAGTCAGACCCGTTTCTAGGCACGTATTAAGGAACAAAGCAGGTATAATATGCTAGAATATTCAATTTATCTTTCTTTAATTGAAATAATTGTCTCGTGAGCGGAAAAGAAAACTGAGATGTTGATGATTGATTTGATTTGTTTGTGGATGAGAATGAGGAGAAACAGTGGATAGACCCGGCTGGAGTGCACTGTCTGATACCGCTGCGCGCACTGAGAATGAGCCTCCACCCGATGGAATTCAGTCGTGTCGTTCCACTGCCTCCACTAAAATCTCGGGTACCTGTACTGTGCGCCTTGGAACAAATCAGCCATTGGGCTTCACCTCAGTTTCATCCCATCAACAATAAAACTCGGCTCATGATTGCATAACCGACCATGCACATATTCTGCAACAGATGAATACAATATTCAATATATATATTTAACCAACTGTCCCATATTCACAATATTCATTCCTATTTCTTCTGCGCAGCAGTCACCTCCTCCTCAAGCGGCAGAATATGCGGCAGAGGTCCAACAGGCGTGATAGAGAAAGGGTTGATCTGAGTGTGGCTCCGGGTGTAGTGCCACTTGATGTGGTCAAACTGCGTAGTATCCTTGAACGCGGGATCGTTCCAGTAAAGGTTTCGCATCCACTTGTGCAGAGCTGGGTATCCTGAGCGAATGTCGCGGATGTTGCACTTGAAATGCTGCACGTAGACGGGATCGAAGCGAATAATCGTGACGAACAGTCGAATGTCGACCTCGCTAATCTTGTCGCCGAACCAGTAGGGGCCTTGTTGCTCGGAGAGATGCTTCTCAGCGCGGTCCAGAGCTTCAAAGAGGGCCACGACGTTGCGCTCGTAGGCTTCACTCGTGGTTGCGAATCCAGACTTGTAAACGCCATTGTTGATGCCGCCGTATTGCCACTCATGGACCTCCTCGATTTGCTTCTGGAGATCTTCGGGGTACAGCTGAATGGCCCTGTACTTCTCATCCAGCATGTCGTCGAACTAATCAAGGTCAGCAACCATAAGTCAAGGCACACATTGAATTACTTACCTCAGTACCAAGCATTCGCAGAATTTCACTGCTTTCGTTGCTCACAATTCGGTTTGTCTTCTTGTCAAACAGAACTGGCACGGTGTATCGACCATCATAGTTCTTCTCACTCTCAAAGTAAATATCCTTCAAGTGAGTGAACCCCTCATGTCCCTTGATAGGATCAGGAATCACATTCTCACCGGGAACGTCCTCATCCTTGGAAACAAATCGCCAGCCTCCCTCACCGAGATGCCAATGCACAACTGAGTAAGAGATGATGTCCTCAAGACCCTTAAGTTTGCGGGCGATGAGTGTGCGGCACGCCCAAGGGCATGCGTAGCTCACATAGAGGTGATATCGGCCAGCCTCAGCAGGATACTTGGCATTGGGGTCGCGAGAGATCCAGTCTCGGAATGAACTGACTTGACGCTTGAACTCGCCAGATGTGTCACCGGGCTTGACCCAGTCAGTGACTTTACCAGTGCTTGCCTGTAGCTCTGTTAGCAAGCTGAGAAGAGCAGTGAGAGTGTCTGGTCTGTGTACCATTCTGATTTGATGTGGGGGCTGAACGTGAGTGAGGAGGGACAGTCTAAACGATGATGCTTTGATAGATGTGATGAATCTGATCGATTGTTGCTGCTGTGGTCTAAAGAGGGAACTCCTGTTGAAAACTCGAAATGATCGGATTCGAATTCCTTGCATTGACATGTCTATAAAAACAAATCGGAGCATTCCATGACGGCGACAACCAACACCTTTATAGCTGCAGCTCAAGAGAGTAGACTACGAGAAAAGTGGCCATCACCACGCATGATGGAACCCTTGCTCACTCATGATTTGCTCAGCAGCCCCTCACAAGCTGTGGAAGCTTAGTTACCAACCAGATAAAGCCTGTCCTCCCAATCCCAAGGGCCTCTCTCTCCGTCTGGTGGGTTCCCCGAGAACTCCCATTCCTGAGCTATTCCGTCCTAGAGCTTTGGCTACCACGCTTGGGAGCATTTCATAATCGTGGCGTAATAATCGACCCCGCTTTACTGCGAGCTGCTTAGTTATCATGCTCTACTGTCTTGATAAGCCCATGTCCATCATGACGACTGGCTTGGTAAAGAAAAGCTCCCTTCCTCATCGAGTCAAGGTCGCAGTCTCGGCAGTTCACCATATGTTTTCGTTTGCGTACGCGAAAAGAACAAAAGGACATCATTAGGGCCTCAGAGTTGTCAACAGCAAATTGAATAAAGGTCTGCATAAGCTTTGTCATACAGCAACGAATTTATCTATCTTTATAAGCTGAATCCTTTCATCGTTCATGTGCTCATTTGCACTCCAGTCGTTTCTAAAATCCCATATACATATTTCAAAAGACTGCTCAGAAGCCTCAAATTCACAGTGTTTATGCCATCTTGACCTTGATGTAGGGCACCTCAACATCCTCCTCAGCAAGATCCTCAGCAACAATCTCAAAAATGACCTCCTTTTGGTGTGGAGGAATAGGCTTCTTTGAGATCGTCTCAACCAACTGGCTCAGCTTGAGGTCATAGCGCTCCTTCAACTTCGAAGGAGGGAAGAAAGAAGCGTAGAGAAGGCTAACCCCTGAGCTCAGCATGCTGATGGTCAAACCCTTGGCCTTGAAGGTATCCAATAGCTCCTTCAAAGTGATGTCCTCAATCTCAAAACGATCCCAAATCTTATCCAACGTAACCTTGCCGTCAGGGCCTTGGTATTCCACCTTGGGGCTAGCAATGGGCTCGCTGAAGCCAAAGAAAGGCAGAGCCAAGTTGATGAAACCGTTCTTGTACTGCTCTAGATCATCCTTGCCGTCAATGATCTTGTACAGCTCAAGTACCACCAGACCGGTGACCAAAGCCGTGGTCGTAGCGATGGCGGGAATGATCTTGCCAGCGATGAACTTGGTCTTGTGTCGATCAGCAGGCTCAATCTTGTAGTTCTCTGCTCGGAGGTTGCTGCAAGCAGTGATGAAGTCGATGTGATGATTCGAGTCATCGTCCTTCTCGAAGTCAACAGGGGCCAACTGGAATCCTGACAAAGAGCTGGGCGACGGGAGGCTGGTGGTCAGCTTCTCGATCTCGTCGTTGTCATCGAAGTTGCTTGACTCGGGCTCCTGGTCATGAATTAGTACTGGTTTTTGAATCAGATGTGAAAATACTTACCACAGGTTCCTTATCGTCGGCCTGGATCTTCACATTGGAACTAGGGCTAAAGTCGGGAACGATGACATTGTCCAATTCTCGCAGATAGATGGACCTGTCGGTTCCAGGAGACTTGATGTTGTAGTTGAAAGCATGGAGGTTGGCTGCCGCAACAATGAACCCGAAATGAGAAGGGTTGTTGGGGTCGAACTTGAGCGCATCGGGAGCTCGCTTAGGTCCGGACCAGAAAGGAGTGCCAGACGAGGTCTCAGAATCCTTGGGAAAGTTATACAAGAGCTGCTGGATCTTGTTAGAAAATTCAGTCTCGAACAACTGACGAGCCCAGGCAATGCAGTCCTCAAAGGTTCGTGGCCTCTCGGTCGTGAGATAGTTCCTAATCGTCTCAAGAGTCTCCTTCTGGTTGCCACCCTGCTTCAAAGAATTCTCAATGAATTGAGGCTGGGTCAAGTATAGATTGACAGTTTGAGGAGCCTTGACAAAAAGCTTCTCAAACATGTATTCCTTAGCCCAGGCAATAGTGTGATCGATCTTGTTGGGGAAACTTCGGATTGTGCACATGGGAAACTCCTTCTCGGGGGGGTCCTGGGAGGATGAATAAGACTCGGTGAGATGAGGCAGCACGACCTGCGTGTTGCCCTTGGTTCCAAGAGTACCGCTCTCGAGGAGTGGCTTCTGGAAGAAAACGCATCGGCGGTCGACGTATGTTCGAGCCTCGACGTTGTCGAGAGCGTTAGTGACACCATCAAGGTTTCGCCAGAAGTCCTCGTTGAAAACATTCTCGGTCTCGGGGCTAACGCGTTCCTTGAGTGTTACCATGTGGCCTTCGAGGTCAGG